AGCCGCTCCAAGTTTATGTTTGTCCATACCCTATGTCTCCAGTATCAGACTCGCTGTTGCTTTGTTCACTGCTACACATATTTAAGTAACCATACAACTAACTGCATGCTTTAGTTATTCCACTGAGAGTTTGCTTTAAAAACAGTATGGAGAGCTTTAATAAAGCCACAACATCAGAAGTGCTGACATCAAGGTATTCATGTTGGATATTATCAGCTTAATTCTTAGTTTCCCTTTGCAATAATTTAACTCTGAAAAGTTGGGAAGGGGAAGGAGGAGAGATTTTCCTCTCAAACATATCCAAAAGTAACATAGCTGCAGTGGCAGACACAAAATATAAGATTAATTTGCTTCCTCCTGCCTCTAAGACATACTTGTTTAAGTCATGGCTCTTATGGCCCATGCCAGTCACTCAGCAGCCCTAAAAATAAATCCTTTTCCCAAATCAGTTACTCCATAGGAGCATCTTCTCACTAAGGTCATGCAATACTACCCAGTCACAGATGTTGCCAAGGAGTACCTACTGGGACAACACTTTCATACAATATTGCAGTAATAGGCAGGCACAAAAAAAAAATGCTGGACTACTTAGATGTGGAGATCACAGGACGTACATATCTTAGAGGCTAATAATAAATTTTTTAAGAAATGTAAATGTTATCTTTCTTCCCCCCCCCCCCTTTCAGAAGTTAGAGATAAAAATGAGGTTGTTTGTTTGCAGAATTTACTGACCACCTTTCCCAGACTAGAAGGTATGCTTCACAAACTTTTACAGGATTGAGGAGCAGCAGGTGTTTGGCTAAAGTCCAGGTCCAGTGACATTAAACAACAAAAGTCCCATTTACATCAGTATGAGTAAAATTTCATTTTTTGAAAAGGTAAAAAGTAAAGCTTTGTTTTTAAGTGATATGAAGATGCATATCATTCTGTTTTTCAAAGTGAAAATGATAACCTTTCACTTAAAAAAAGATTACAGTGTTACAGCAGAATACATCTATGGGATTGCTTTCCCCTGCAGCCAAATTATGAACTATTTGAGAGAGAGAGAGAGAGAGAGAGAGAGAGAGAATGGTAGGTGAAGAGAGAGGGTTGAACAGAGGACTGGGAAGAGTGGTGCTTGGAAAGGAAAAACAAGAGGCATTCCAGTTTTAGGAAGAAAATGTATTTGGTGGCTTGAAAACTGAAAAATAATGTAAACCGTTCTACTTTTTGCGCTCCATTTTGAAAACGGGAGCTGGGAAAGAAAGTGAAACCAGTCATCTCCTCCCTATAGAAAACAAATCTAACTTCTGGGATAAAAAACATGAAATCAAAGTTTTACTGCTATTAAGAGCATTCAGAACAGAAAACACCAAGGAACAAATATACAAATGCCAAGGCTCACCATCTGAATGGGTTTCTTGTGCAGATCCCTTTCAGTTACCAACTTCTCCTGGTCAGTGACATAAAGACCTTTCTGTGCCAAGGCTTGGATAACAGCATCGTGACCCACAAGTGGTTTGGCAGCATCACTCTTGAGAATTAGACTCCCAGCACGACAGTAGAGTTCAGCAGATAGCAGCAAGTTAACAACCGGTGGTTTAATGTGTTCCTGATCATACTGGTCTGTGTAAAATGGTTCTCGCAATTCCTCTGGAACATTTTCTACAAAAAATAAACAATATATATATATATATATATATATATATATATATATATATATATATATATATATATATATATATATATATATATATATATATATATATATATATATATATATATATATATATATATACACACACACACACATATATATACATACACACACACACATACATACACACACTTTTTTTTTAAAAAGAAAAAGATACAAATATTTCACAATACATAGACTAACCAGACAGCATGTTCACATACAATTCCAAAATTACTTTACATGATGAGAGAAATATAATCTGTGGTAGGAATCTCTCTTTAGAATATGGGAGCTAACAATTCAATATTAGTGAAAACTACAGATGAATGTATTACCATTAAAGAGAATAAGTCATAAATACTAGCTTGTTGGGAAAAGGTCCTGAGAAAAGTCCATGCTGCAAAGCAAAGTGTAACAGGGCTAGCTCGTGGTTTTACAGAAGCATCAATTCAAGATGTCTTGACTCTTCCAACCTTATGGACAAACCTTCCACTTCAGCATGTTTTATAGCTCAGCCACATAAAGGCAAGATGACGTCTGTCAAATGGCTGTGTTGAAAACACAAAACTCTGTTTTATCCTATAATTTTATGTAAGTGGAAAAATTGTAAATTCTACCCCGGGGGGGAAGGGAAGGAAATCCATACCTTGTAAGTCAAACTGAGAACCCAGTAAGAAAACTCACACTGTACATCAAAAGTTAGATATTACCAAATGATAAAAATTCAATAGCTAATTATTACATAATACTAACATTTCTATAGATAATTTTAATAGAATCAATTTTTAAAAATAAAAGAACAGAGGGGAAAAGGCTGAAGAATTATGGAGAATTTCCCCCTTTTTGTTAAACACTGGGACACTAACACTTCCCTGTAAAATAAGAAACGTCAAATCTGAATGCCTTCGGGGTTAATGAAAGCTACATAGGAACGTATCATGTAATACAGAGGTTTTCACACAAAACCGGGGGAAAAAACTACTATAAAAAAGGGACCCCAAAATGCGATTGCACTTCTTTGGTTTTTTGGTGAAAAGTGCACACTTAGGCAGGCGCTGTGAAAAAACGGTGAGCTCGCTGCAAAAAATAATTACTGGCAAGCAGAAGAAAGGGTGGAAAGCCCTGAAGTCTTGGAGCATGGTGGAGGGGGAAGGAAAGGCAGGGGCCGGGTGGGACTGCTTAGAGCAGGAGTCAGGGAGGCTGCAGACAGCTGCCCCGGGGTCTATGGAGCCCTGGCCCAGTTTGCTGTATGCGTGCACCCACTACCAACAACAAGTGGGGCCAGTAGGACTGTGCAAAACAGCTATGTTTCGTTTGTTTCAGATTCGGCCATTTCAGAAGGACAGTGATTTGCTTTGGTGTTTTGGATCACTGTTCTGTTTCGATTCGTCTGAATCCGTTTTGGACTTTCGGTGCTGTATCTTTGCCAATTCAGAGATTTGGATTGGCTGGGAAGATTCAGTACAGCCGGGAGACAGTAGGCTCCCCACTGCTCCTCCAGCTGTGCCTGCCTCTCCCCAGGTAGGGGGGGCAGTGGGAGAAGCTCCCATGGCTGCCCTGCCTGGCCCCAGCCTCCCAACACTTTAAAAGGAGGGACGCGGGGCTGTACTGCACTCTTCCCAAGGGACGTGGGCCCCCAGATCTGCACACAGGATAAGAGCAGGCTATCGACGCCAGCTGGAACCAGCACATTATTATGACCTGGCTCTACAGCTTCTGTACAGACTAGGTGCTTGAAATGAAGTTGACTGCTGGAGCCCAGCCCAATTAGCTATATGGGAAATCATAAGCCTTCTGGCTTTGGAATAAGATCATGGATAGTTTCTACTGTATGTAAATAGAAATAGCTCTGCTATTTAAGTGTATCTATGGAATACCTGTGCTAAAACTTGTAGCAGTTTCCAAAAAAAGGTAAAAATGCATCAATTTTGGATGAACAAAGTCTATGGGTACCTGTAAGTTTGCCTACATACAAATTACTGTGGGAGTTATTTCAAGGTCAGTGTTTCAAATTTACCCTTCACTGCCATGTGTTCAGGGAGAGCAGGGTCTGACAGGGGAAGAAGGCAGCTACCTGAACCCCCAGATTTATTTTCACTGCTGAGGCAGTGGAAGGGGTACAAAACCAAGGCAAGCCTCCCATAATTAGACCCTATACCTAGAAAAGCATAGTAGTTTTATAAATTATCCATATATAGAAACTATTTATTAGGGAGGTCATCTTACATACAGTCAACTTATATTCAAGAAAATGTGGTTACATTTGAAACCCAATACAGACATGTGCATGTACATACAAAATGTTTGAATCTAATCTAATAACTTAAAATATTGTGTTGCCAGAAAAACCTACCACAAATGTAAATTCATACAAATTTATATCAAGTTTACTAATAGGTTTTGTCTGTAAATTGGTTTTCCAGCAAAGCATCCAGTAAATTTATTAATTCACAGAAAATACTGACTTGGGTTCACAGACAAATAGGAGAAATAGCTCATTTCAAGACTGCCTCAGCAAGAGGTTTGCAAGACAAAACACCTGTCATAGCCATTATCTAGAAATAACTGCACAAAACCATTCTCTTCTTCCAAACTACTATCCAGTTCTGACCTATACAAGTGTTGCTGTATTCCTATGCTGTCCCCTATACCTGGAAATCTTCCCTAGGCCTTTACAATATTTTGTCAAGCTGGAACTTTTATGCAAATGGCAAGTTGTTACCACCACCAGGTCCTTCCCATATTGCTAAACAGAAGACAATCCTAGCATGGACCAGGTTGAGAACTACTGTATGCTGTGTAAGCAACCTCACAATACCCATACACTTTGAACATGTAGCATTTCCCTATTGCTCCACAAATAACCTTCTAATTTCTTATCAGAAAGTGTTTTCAATACAACTATTACCTAGTTTCATGTACTCCTTCCACTGTCTCCGGCCTCTTATTTTTATCCTTCCTTTCCTTTTCCACCTGCCACTCTATACTATTTAAGTTTTAAGCTAACTTCACTTTCAAGGTACTTTACCTCTACCTTCTATCATCCCACTTCTAAAAAAAATATATATATTTTTTTTAATTAAATTCATAATGAAGGACTCCTACCTACTTCTCAATTTTTCAAACAAGTACCTGTGTGCTTTCTTCCACCTGCCCTCGTAAAAAAAGGCAATACCTGTAAATATCTGCAAACCTATTCCATTATCTTCCTTAATACTCTTTTGCTATGATGCCTACCAAAAAAACCTTTATCAGCTAGACAGCTGCTATGCTGGAACTACTGTTTATCACAAAGACCAATACCACTTAATTTCATTTCTTTACTGTAGCTATCTCTATCTCTTGCTTTAGCCTAGAGATCCTAGAGCTGGATTTGTACAAGAAGAAAAAAATAAAACAGGATCCTGGTCCATGATTAGGGTTTCATGGCAGTACAGTAATATAAGTATAAGGTTGTGGACTTTGGAAATCTATACAGTGACCAGTCTGGAGGCACTACTGGGCAGCAGAAGCTAGGATATGTAGAGACAACAGAATTTCAAACAGCATAAAGAACATATTGGTAGATCCACATTGGTATGTTTTTCATTCTAAAAGAAAAACTTCACAAACTTTAGTGATATTCTGAAGCTAAATATATTAAAGATGAGTGCATTGTCTCAATTTAATGCATCAGAAAAAAACTGATATGGCCTCTAATTTTAGGGAAGGAGTTTTGGTTACTAAAGCTTGATTTTGAGGAGAAAATCCTCTACTCCCGATGAAGTCAGCAGGCATAGTGTGCGCTCGGTTCCTCCAAGTGCCAGGAAAGAGTAATTTTTGAGATCCTGTGGGGAAAGTTGTGACCCCCCAAAGTCAAAGTAATCACAAAAGGCTCTTGTTGACTTTAATTTGGCCAGGATTTCATTCCAGTTGTCTAACAATGGACACCTTAAAAAACAACAAGCCAAACAAACACCCCCCCCCCCCCCCACAGCAAGGACAAAGATCATTTCTGAATTAAGACAAAAAGTCTTCCTAACCTAACCCTCAGTCTTGTAACTTAGTTACAGATATGGACAGTCTGCCCCATTTAACATTTTTTTTTAAATGGAGAGACAGCAGCCTGCAATGACTATAATCTACAGTCACTCTCAAAATGAAAGACATTCCCTTTCTTTCACATGCAGCAGTTCCCACCCACTTTTCTCTCTCTCTCAACTAGTTTTATCTGAGAATTTCCTGTAAAAAAACAAAAACCCCAACCAAACAAAAAACCCCAGTGATTTTATGTACTAATGCTTTTTCCTAATTTTTACTAATGCACTATTGTAGGCTTTATTTTTCTTCAGCTGAACAATATAAATCGATTAAATTTAACAAACAAAAAACTAAAAGCTACAAGAATTGCAAAGCAAACAACTACATGTGCATATATAAAGACTAGACTGTTTTCAAGTCTTATAAGTTCAGAACAAGGTCCTGTTCTGGACAGGGTCTATCAAAGATTTAGTTGCATCTCTGTATATGAGCTGCTTTATTCTAACAGAGAATTTTTTGCAGGAATAAATCAACTAAAAATTAAATGATTCAAGGGAAGTAGAAGCCAGATGTATGCAGCCAACACTTTTTTTTTTTTTTTTTAATTTTGTGTTTCTGGCCCAATTAGCAAAAATCAGTTCTGAATCCTAGCCATTAAGCAGAACCATGAGTTCAGGCGCTCTCAGCACTGAATCTGGCAACTCATGGTGAGCCACTACATTGGATATATGTCTCAACTTCCTCTTTACTCCTACAGCTGAGCTGTGCCTTTCTTTTACATTTCTTCACCAGTCTTAAATGTCTGGCAAAAATCACCAAAATCTATGCATTCGAGGCGCTGTAGGCCCCCTCTTGATCAGTTGCGGGCAATTAGTATGGCCCACTCTCTGTGAAGTAGATCCAAACCAGGCAGCCCTGTACCTCACCTGCATATATATTTTT